AATGAAAGCCGCTATTGTTCTGTACATTTCTTCCTCTTTCCTACGGGTTTTTATCATGGAATTTTCATTATTGCCAGTCATATTCGGTTCGTAACATTATAAATGCTGAAGATGGAGTAAGAGATTGAATCAAAGCAACTATCGAATGAGTACTTTTGATAAGATATATCGATCAAATGTTGTCAAAAAACAAAGAAAAAATTTTCATGCGATGGTTTCGATACGTGCTACGTATTGTCAGCTTGCGTTATGATTTGTTAAAAAATCGCTCATCTCATAGATTTTGAAAAGTTATACAAAGCTGCACGTTCTATAACTCATTTTTCTCATCAATAGCCGAATCTTATGTTCAAAAGATAAATCATACAATATATGTAGCGACATATGAGACTAGAATAAAATTATGGATTGTTTTGAGTTTTTTTTAATATGTTCATGCTTTTGAAGAGGAGGAAATCAATCAATTTAGTCTGATATACCTTTTAAACATTATACAGAACGGTCTCTTTGAAAGTTTAGTTTTTGTATAAAATCAATAGGTAACCAGAAAAAAAGGAGAAAATCAAAGTACCAAACAGAGATAATTCATCTCTTCGAAATCTTGAAAATTAAGCAGCTCTAATATACATGTTCGAGTCAAGAAATATTATTTTAAAATGAGAAACTCGAAAGCAACAAATAGATGCAGTAAGACATGAAAAATTGTTCAAACTACTTTTTACGTTTAAAAGTATCCCTTTTAGTAATTGAACTGATATCCAATCGTTTTATATCGAAATTATAGTTTTTCAACAATGAAGTTGATAACGAGAAAAGATTATACATCTACTCCAATGTTATGGGTATTTATTGTCGTAGAATCGTGTTTTCAAGATATCGCTTATGGTTCTTCACAGCTCAGTATGTCAGCCGGAGTTCGAATTCACCATATTAATATTCATTTGATGTTCAATTCAGATTTAAAGTTTATTTCAATCTAATATCTATGTTCAGCGCATATGTATGTTTACTAGATTTAGAGGAGAAAAGTTTTAACTGAGTTCATATTTCAAAGGCAGTTTTAATTAATTTAAACATCAAAATTTAAGTCTAAAGTAATGTATCCAAGAAAGTGACATCGTTTTTTCTATCTTTATGATGTCACCCATGGAAAATTTTTTTCAAAAAACCGCTCAAAACCGCGGTTTTTTTCATTCGACCGCGGTTTTACTAGAGGGAACCGGTGTTTCGATTGGATAACCGCGGTTGATGACGGTTTTATTGAACCGCGGTTTTCTGAAACCGCGTTGCTCGTATTCAGGACCGCGGTTCTAAATACCGGCGTATTCAACGGTCTAAAAAATTGCGATATAGTTATTGGAAACCGCGGTATTGCATAATTCGGTATTCAACGGTTTTTAAAATCGCGGTGTAGTCCTTAGTAACCGCGGTGGCAAATACCGCGGAATTGAGCGGTTTCAAAAACCGCGGTATAGTCATTACTAACCGTGGTGGCAAATACTGCGGTATTAAGTGGTTTCAAAAACCGCGGTATAGTCATAAGTAACCGCGGTGGTAAATAGCAAAGAATTGAGCGGTTTCAAAAACCGCGGTATAGACATCAGTAGCCGCGGTGGAAAATACCGCGGTATTAAGCGACTTCAAAAACCGTGGTATAGTCATTAGTAACCTCGGTGGCAAATGCCGCGATATTGAGCGGTTTCAAAAACCGTGGTATAGCCATCAGTAATCGCGGTGGCAAATACCGCGGTATAGAAATCAGTAATTGCGGTGATAAATAGCACGGTATTAAGCAGTTTCAAAAACCGCGGTACAGCCATTAGAAATTGTGGAGGTAAATAACACGGTATTGAGCGGTTTCAAAAAGCGCGGTATAGTCATTAGTAACGGCGGTGACAAATACCTCGGTATTCAGCGGTCTTAGAAACCGCGGTGTGTCACCGAATAACCGCGTTATTGATAACCGCGGTTTTCAGCTGAAGAACCGCGCTATGTCTGGTGCTTATACCATCGTAATGGAATGTGTAAGGACGAAGAGGATGTCGTGCCCTGCTATTTTCATGAAATTTTTAAATAAGTTTTCTTATTCTATCTCTCACTACAATGTAACTTTGTGGTAATGGAACTTCTAAAAGTTCACTACAGTGCCCCTCGAAGGGCGGCTCACCTGAACGTTTTCGAAAGTTCAGATGAGTCTGGTCATACCTGTGTCAGGTGTCGCTACGAAAACCGCGGTATATAGCGGTCCAATAAACCGCGGTTTCCAGTGGTTCAGAAAACTGCGAAAGTCAGACCTTTTATGAAGTTTTTTAAAACCGTCAAAAACTGCGGTATTTGTACACCGCGATCATTACCGTTGAAATAAACCGCGAAAGTCAGACCTTTTATGCGGTTTTGAATACCGGTGAAAACCGCGGTTCTTGACGGTTTTGTAAAACCGCATAAAAGGTCTGACTTTCGTGGTTTCGAAAACCGTCGATTACCGCAGTTTGTGAAACCGCGGTTTCGAGCGGTTTTTCACAAAAAAATTTCCCATGGGTGGCTCTCATCTTCGAGTTGTTTGACACATAATTAAAAGTCTCATACCGTTTTACACGTATTTGTTTTTTGTCGATGGAAGAAAAGAAATAATACTAAAATGTACTTTCTTTCAATTGCACTGAAACATTAAACATATTAAAAATACATGACATTACATGTAATAAAAATGAAAATTGATTAAATAGTATTAAATTCAATCAAGATCTCAATTATAGCTAGATTCTTCATAGATAAATTAAAAAGGATGAAATTATTTAAATTATTTTTAGGGAGTTTTATAAAACTGCATGACATTTTTTATTAACTTCATCGGTTCCGTAACTGACCATACAAGATATAATCATAGAAGTCTTGTTTCTAGTTTAAAGCTCATATCAATATCAATATCAACCTTTAGAAAATTCTAGACCAACAATAAAAATTTGAAGAAGAAATCTTCACACTTATTGCTATTGAGAATAGCTAAAATCATGATGAAATCTTTTACAATCATTGTTTTTTTTGTGAGAATCCTCAAAAATTTATACCTATTGAATAATCTACAAAACACAAACTTGTAAAGATTTTAGATTAAGGTTTCGATAGGAGATTCGTATTGTCTTGTAAAGAAGCGAAAATACTTAATTGTAGAAAGTTCGAAATCGATCCGTGAGGCGAAACTGCTATTGTTTAAAAAAACGTGTTCCATACCCTATTAAGTGAAAAATTTGTAATACATTAGAAATGAATTCCGAATAAAAGATTTCATTGATTCGTATATAGATTATTGTTTGTGCTACAATGCAGAATAATGAACATGACAGTTTCTTCAAAATATTCTTGAACTTGGGAAAGATTTGTTTTTGAGTTCTTTTCATCTACTAAAATTCGAACTTACATATTTTTTTTATCTAAACTTATCTTATTTAGTACTTCGATTAGCCTTTCTACAAACTACTTGTTTGTTTGAGATTCAGGAATAAATTACTCAATAATAAATATGATGCAAAATTCGTGGCATAAAATACTTTCGAATGGTGCATGATTTATATTTGTCACACATTCGTAAATGGAATAAGAAAGAAAAATACTGACACAAAAAGTTTGTAATCGTTTTATATGAATCAGTCTAAAACGTCTTATGTATGGTAGTTAAGTATAATTAACTATCGTTATTATCTAGCAAGATGTTTTTAACGAATTCATATAAAAGTTGCAAATTTATTTTGTCTCATTTCCCTCAGAAATGTGTGATGAACATAAATCATACACTGTTCGAAAGATGAGAAAGTTTCCTATCAACTGATAACAATTTTTTTTCCTTAAGTTCAAATTCTACTGTAACTCATGTTATTGTAAGATCCAAACAAAAAGAATGAAATGATTTTTAAAATGATGACATGCAACATCTAAATATATTTCAAAGTCGAACTAACGAAATCAGTGAATATGCTGGAAAAATTCGATATAATAGAAAATTTCATTCACAATAAAATCCGAGTTTATCGCAATTTTTCACATTACTAGTTAAATTCTAGTTAGTTTTAGTCAAACTAACGATTCCAACACAAAACGTTTGAAAACATCAACAATGTTTTTTTTTCAACATTGAAAAAATCAGATTCTAATCAAATTCATAAGTAACAAGCTTTTCTAATTGAGAACAGTTCAATACTGTTTAAAACAAATGACAATGAGTCATTTCAATGAAATCGAAGTTTATTTCTACTTCGTACTTTTGTTTTATTTCAGTACCACTACGTGCAAGTTCCACTGATATTCATCCAAATGCAAAATGGGCACAGAATGGTATCACTGTTGCTGGAGGAAATGGATGGGGCAGTGAAACCAATCAACTCTATTACCCAATTGGTTTGTATGTCGACGATGATCAAACTATTTATGTTGCTGATTGGGGAAATCATCGTATTGTGGAATGGAAATCTGATGCAACGAATGGCACAGTAGTTGCTGGTGGAAATGGACAGGGAAGTGGAGCTCATCAATTAAATGGCCCACAAGATGTGATTATCGACAAAGAGAGCGATAGTCTCATGATCAGTGATAGATGGAATAATAGAGTAGTTCGTTGGCCTCGTCGAAATGGGACTCGTGGAGAAACAATTATTTCAAATATCTCTTCTCATGGTTTGACCATGGACGGCAATGGTTCTCTCTATGTCGTTGACGATAAAAAACATGAAGTGAGACGATATAAAATTGGTTATACTCAGGAAACAGTAGTTGCAGGTGGTAATGGAGAAGGAAATCCTCTCAATCAACTCTGTAATCCCCACTATGTATTTGTTGATCGAGACCATTCAGTATATGTGTCTGATTGTCACACTCATCGTGTAATGAAATGGGAAGAAGGTGCAAAACAAGGTATTGTTGTAGCCGAGGGTCAAAGAAAAAGTCTTACACAATTGAATAATCCTCAAGGACTCGTTGTTGATCAATTGGGCACTGTCTATGTGGCTGATTATTATAATCATCGAATCATGCGTTGGTCAAAAGGAGCCACACAAGGAAGTGTCATTATTGGTGGAAACGGTTATGGAGCGCAGCCGAATCAATTCGCTTCTCCCATAGGTTTATCATTCGATCGACATGGTAATCTCTATGTCGTCGATTACGGAAATCATCGAGTACAAAAATTTAATATCGAATGAGCTCAATACGACGATGAATTTTATTTTTGTTTGTTCTCTGTTAGCTCGTTTCGTCGAGCAATCGATATCTCTTTTTATTTTTTTGAAAACATCATATATATATATAAAAATGTCCTTCACGTACATATATTCAATAACAAAGAAAAGAAAAGAAAAGATTACATAACCAACAAAGAGAAGAAAGAAAACGAAAGCATCGAGGGGTATAGTGAACCAGTATCACCGTTAACAGTCCTCCCCCCTTACAAGAGATGTGTGTCCCCACACAGTAGTGTTCATCAATTGAAAAAAAAATTTAGTTCTTGAACAATTAATTTATCACTTAATACGTA